TCAGATGTCAGTTTTTGTTGGATGGTATTTGTCAACGAATATTGTCAAAGCAGTTTTCACATCTAAAATATTTTGGACCATAATGGTATGGCTTTCACAGTATCTTGTGTTTTGACCGACAAATATTAGGCCAGTATGGAGGTCCATCTTCTCTATACCTCGGAATGTTTTCCAAGATATCCATAAACCAAGCATTTGGTGTTGAACTAAAGATTTTTATCATGAGTGCTTTCTTTGTCGCTTTAGAAACATAGGGGTCCTTGTTTGGATTCGTCATTTTTTACCCTATAAGAAATGGGTTTATTTTGGCGCATTAGCAGGAGTTGCATCCAGATTTTTGCCCGCAGTGGGAACAATAGCCAGAGGTGTATTTGGAGTTGGAAGGAAGATTTTTGAGTACATTAGGTATACTTAAAGAGAAAGCAACACTATTATACAAACTGTACAGAAAGGTTGGGAGGTAGCACGAGATGCAACAAATCTTATTCCAAATCCTGAAACAAGAGGAAAAGTTCAAGGATGGATGGACAATGTTAGGAAGACAAGCAGGAAACTATTATAACAAAGCAAATGACTACTATAACCAAGCAGACACTATATGGACCAAGGTGAAAGATTCTTTAACAGAGGATATAACCATGCACAACAATGGGTAAACAATAAACCAACTCAACCGCCTCAAACGTGGGGAATGTAAAGTTTTTACTGAGATGAAATGAACAATACAGCATTGAGACAAATGGGTTTCAAGATGGATTTGTCGACTTCCAGCAGTTACACCACGTGTTTTGTAAAGTTCTTCCTATACCTCAGGAAGTTTTAGACCGACTTAAAAACCTAAACAAACCAGTTGAAAACAAACCAAACTAAAATTTTTACTGAGATGAAATGACCGAAGAAGTTGAAACGGTAGATTTGAACCACAAACAAAAAGTTCAGAACCATTGTCAAAACCTGTAAAGAACTTACAGATGAAGAGAAAAATTCAATAATAGAAAGTGCCAGGTCTGGAAATACAAACCCTAACTATAAAGTCACTTTTCATAGAAATGGAACGGCTAGTATCTCAAAAAAGAAACAGACTCTCACAAATAAAATATTGAAGTCTGAAGGAGCTTTCGAGACACAGATGGAAAGTTTACTTCACTGACCAACAGTTCATTATAGAACATCTCATTGACTTAGAGTCGAAATATTCTAAACTTTACAACAAACACAAAAAGTTGAAAGGAAACAAAAACAAATGGCATATGATATTTATGAAGATGTTGACAACACAACTGTTCCTGCAGGTGAAGTAAAGTCAGAGGAACCGAAAAGTGACGAAAAACCGATAGAAGAAGAGAAACCAAAAAACTGAAGATAAACCAAAACCAAAGTTTAGTTTGGAAACTAAACCAAGTCAACCTTCATTAGCTGGTATGGGTTGGCGTCAAAGACTTATGGCAGCAGGTGGTTATGTAAAGTAAAGAAAAAAACATTTTTTATTTTTATAAAAAATGCCCCATATAGAATGGATAGAAAGTCTGCTAGAATAAAAGCAGAGTTGCAAAGATATGGTTGGAGAGTTTCGAAGAAGTTTAAATATAGGAAGGAAGACCCATAAAAGTCTATGACAAACTGGCTGGTCTTCGCTACGAAATGGATTTGGAAACAGCACGTGCAATTATCCAAACAGACTAGAGAGGTTAGAAGAAGAACGTCTTAGGACATGCCTTTCGATGTTAGTTGAACCTCAAGTTGAAGGACACGACGGCTTTGCCAGATTCTACTGGAAACATGACGAACAATTGCATCCTTTGAGAAGGAAAAAAGTAGTGCAGAGGATGGTCATGCTCCCATGGAAAGAACAAGATATGCATATGAGAAGTACCGTGAAGTTAGAAGTCAAATTACATCTGGTCGAACCTTACAGTAAACTTTGACAGAAGGAAAGAACAAAAGAGGCTTCATGGGTGTACTTGCTGCAATTCAAGATGGAAATAAGAAAGATACAATCTCAGATTGACCATAACAGATTTGGATGGTCACATTTACTATGCACATGGCAATGTCACAACAGCTGCAATGCTTCTTGACGCTTTCAGACTACAAAGAGAGAACAAATGGTTGACTCCGACTCAGACATTTTGAATGCAATTGAAGGAATTGCAAAGTGTTCAAGTTCGAATGGTACCAACCTAACCCTCAAGCAGTCAGACAACATGCTGGATACTTCCCGTTCATAAATAAGTCTGACATTGACTTGACAAGGTATGGAATTTACAATTCAATTGAAACAATTGTCAATGAAACCTTGTATTCTTACATGTCTCAGGAACTCTGGTCTTGTTACAGATGAGAAGATGAAGTATCTTGAGTCATGTGTGAAGACAAGTACATTCTCAGAGGTCAATTGGCAAAAATTGCACCGTTGGCAAATGTCAATATCCGAGTCAACATACATACAGCTAAAGGTTCTTCACATGACGACTATGTTGTTGAGTTCAATTTAACCATGGTTGAAGATTGCAATTGTCCACAACCACTTCATGTTGAACGAAAGTCTTACAAACCCATTGTTCGGAAAAGGCAAGTGCAACATTGTCAGAGCTGTAAACTTCTTTTCGAGAAAGGTTTGTTGGAACCAATTCCAGATGACAAGCTGACAGAAACTTTTGTACCAAAAGACGAAACAAACTTTTCACTTTAGCAAGACCAAAAGTTGTTCCAGACAAAGTTCTAGTACAAAAGAAGTACACAATTCCAAAGGAGTTGGATTGTTCGGATACCAACCTGAACCAGAAGAACTTCCAATGAGGTTGCAAGAACTTCAAGATGCTATAAACAAACTTCCATTGAGACATCCAATTGACGTCAAATTGTATTGGAGAGCATCTGAGTTAGGTCAGAAGGTTTTATATGAAACAGGTTGCTTCGACGATGTTTATGAGATAACAGGAGAAGTTTCTCAGAAGATAAGAGACTCACTTGAATTTCCACAAACTGGACCAATTGGTTGCGACAAGTTCGACTCAGATGAAAAGATATACTATGTCGACCTTAACGCTGCATACATGAGGTTTGTCCAATATATTCCGACTGGAATTCCAAACGAAGATGGTGAGTTCCCGGGAAGGAACTATACAGTTGGAAAAGTCATACAACAACTGTATGATATTAGGAAAGCTTCAAACCCCAAACTTGCAATGACACTCAAATTGCTTATGAATTCGACATGGGGATATTCCATTAAGAAACCTCAAGAGATGAAGAGTAAACATTATGAGAAGGTCGACAACTTTGTTGAAAGGTTTTCTCCTTTTGTTTTGAAGTACGAATTCACTCAAGGTCAAAGTGGCTTAGTAACCACATTAAAACCTATTGTCGAACATTGGTCTTACCCTCAGTTCGCAAAGGCAGTCCTTGACAACTACAACAAATTCTTCTCCGAAGTCAAATCCAAAGTGAAGGTTTACTATGAGAACATTGACGCACTCATGACGAACGAAGAAGGATACAACAAACTCATTGAAATGGGTTTAGTCGGTGAAAAGATGGGTCAATTCAAATTGGACAAAATTTTCACCGAAGTTCATGTCCTCTCCAAGCGTAAGTACTGGGGCATACTTGAAGACGGCACAGAAATAAAACATTGCATGAAATAAAAAATTTTTATTCGAATTTGAATTAAAATGTGGGAATTCTTGGGAACGGGAAAGGCTTATTTACTTGAGGAACAGGTAAAGGTGGTGGAGGTGGAGGTGGTGGCAACCAGTCCATTTTATATTCCTTCCTAGCTAATTTCCGTTTAATTTCATGGTCGCCCTCGGAGTTTTTGAATCGGACAGGTCGAGTTACACCATTCTTGGTCTCAAACTCATATATAACCTGTTTGTCTGTATTTTCGTCGACTATGGCACGAGACACAAACATTGACCAAACGGACAAAAAGTGTCATTTCGGATGGTCAAGCAGCCAATCGCATTCGAGCACTTCGAAGAAGCCTTACGTTCCAAGGGAGAGGGTGTCTGGTGCAAGGCAGAGGTCATGAAACTCTACGAGCAGTACATCCTCAATGCCTGGGAGGACAAATCGTCCTTGGATTGGCAATTCTACCAACTCCTCTGGGACGACCTCCTACGCAACTGGGATAACGAAAGAGCCCAATTCAAAGGTCGGGAACTAATTTTGCAAATTACCCTTAATTTAACATACTTATCCAAATAAACACCTAAATTTACTTGGGGTTTCCCCCTAAAATAAAATTTTTTTACTCTTAGAACCACTCGAGGTTCTCCTTACGGTTGTTGAGCTTGTCACCGTCAATGTGTCTGACCCTCGTCTTCTTGTATGGATTTGGAACCCATTGCATACCGACAAGCCTTCCCATGGAAATTGAACCGTAATTCCGAAGGTTAAGGTTCAAGTGTCCCAAGTTGTTGAGGACTGGGGTAAGAACCTTGCCTGTCGCCTTGTTCCGGATTTGGTATGGGTAGGGTTGGGAAATTTCGTAAGCGTCATCGGCAACAAGGGTTGCCCAAACTTCCTCTTCTTCGTGTTTCTCTTCTTCATCTTCTTCCTCTTCTTCTTCGTGTTTCTTTTCTTCCTCTTCTTCCTCGACAATTCCTTCTTCAATTTGGTACTCACGAAGTACGGTGTTGCATGTTCTGTCCTTTCCGAGTACCTTCCAGATGGCGTCTATCTCTTCGAAGAAACGGTAGATGAGTCTGGCAAGGTCTCGGTTCTCTCTCTCGTAATTGCGCAAGGTTTCCGCGAAATCGTTCAGGCATTTCTCATTGGAAGCTTGGTTCATGAGGACATCGGCTTTGAGATTGGTCATCTCTGTCATAAGACTACTTTGGAGAGTCTTAATGGTGTTTGTCAGATGAGCTTTCAATTGGGCAATTTGAATTTGAACTGGGCGCTTGTCTGGCAACCTTGAAAGGACATCTGCCATTGAGTTTGGCTTCGGTGCTTGTTCGGACATCGAAAAATGAAGTGGTTTGAGAATGACGGTTTTACTTCAAAAAGCTTGTTATGACAGTTATGTCATACAACAAGTTTAAAATAATATCTTGTTCTTCTTCTGAACGTTTGTTGTCTCTTCCGATAAAAGTTTCGAACATGAGAACCAAAAAACGTTTTTTGAGATTGCGGAAGAGTTCAGGCAAACGTTCATATTCTGGATATGTTGGGAGCAGTTCAAAACATCTGAGCTGACTTTCGGACAAAATTGGGACAATGTCAACAAATTCATCTTTGGTCGGACTGCTTGAAGGTAAGTCCCTTACATGTAAGTAGCTCTGGTAAAGTCTTCTCATTTCTGCTAACTTTTGGAGTATAGCTTCGTAGTTTAGAAGTTTTAATTTTAATTGTCTTATTCCACTCTTGACATCTAAACGGTAACTATCCATGAGGTCAAGAGTAGCTTTGGTAGCTTTAAGTGGAGCTATCTGTTCCTTGACTTCTGCAATTTTGGTTGCAATTGTGATTTGAGCTCCTTCAAGTTCGCCGTCTATGTCGTTCTCAACGTCTTCAACGATGGCTTGAAACTCTTCATCGGTCCATTCAGATTGGTGTGGGACGAATTTAACTTGCTTCATTCAAAAAATGAAAAAAATGTTTTTACTCTAAACGTTAAGGTTTACTGAACTGGTTGGATGTCGCCTTCACAGGTTATGTAGAACGGCTGACCCGAGAAGTTAAGGAGAGACTGAATTGCCAATTTCATATGGGGTAGGGGGTTCTCCTTGTTTGGTATTTTTATCCAAGGACGTTTGTTTAGGAACTTAACAAGAGCTTCTCTTTTGGCGTCCTTTATGCCATCGAAAGGAGTGTTTTCTGGTATTTGAATTGGAATTCCAGTCGAAGTCTCGAGATTCAAGACAGCCCTTCCAGAAATAGCGGTGAACTTGACCTTGGGCTTCATTACCCTGCGCAAGTACTGCTTAACAACTTCATTTATCTTATAATAGGTAAATTGCCTCGTCAAATCCTTCTGGCATTCCGAGTCCTTCCATCCGACAGGAAAAGTTTTTCCCGACAACTGGAAAAAATTTTCCGGACAAAGGGAAAAATTTTTCCTTCCGACAGGAAGAACTCTTCCAGTTGTCCGTCCGTAAACCATTCAAATTTTCGAAAATTGAGAACTTTTTGGTCGAACTTCAGGAAAATATTTTCCTTCCGACAGGAAAAGTTTTTCCTTCCGACAGGAAAATATTTTCCTTCCGACAGGACACAAACGGATGACTGACGTTCCTCTTCCTGAATGCCTTCCAAAGCCAGAAGAACCGAAAGCTGCAGAACCACAACAGTCTCCTCAGCAACCTCAGTTCCAGCAAGTCCCTCCACCAAATTACTACCAATTTCCACCTCAAGGTTACTACCAATTTCCACCTCAAGGTTACTACCCACCACAAGGCTTCCCGAACTACCCTCCTCCTCAGCCTATGCCTTACTTCCCCAACCCTTGGATGTTCCAGCAAGCTCCACCCCAGCAATTCCAATCTCAATCCAATCGAAGAGAGACCAAGAGTTCGAAGAAGGTCTGAACCGCTTACGCAAAGATTATGCCACAGCCCCTATGGAAGACGACAGGCTTTCAGTCTCTTCCCTCAAATCGACCGATTCGACTCGTACCACAGATTCAGTTCGTGACCGTGAAGACTACCTCAAGCAGTCTGAGAGACTCTTCATCCTACAATCATTTACAGTTGGAGCTCTCAAGAACATGCGCAATTACGAAGGTCAGACACCAGCTGGAGACCGCAAAACAGACGTACTCGCAAGAGCCGTCCAGCTCGTCAAAACAAAGACTGAGATAGTCGACTTCATTCTTGCAGCTTGCCCATACAAGTAAAAAAAATAAACAATTACGAGTTAAACTTTTTATTCTTTCTTTTCTGAGTTGTTTAGAGCTGGTTTCTCTTGTAGGAACCTTTCGTACTCTTCCATGGTCATGTAATTGCGAATTTTGTACGCAATTCCAGGTTCGTTGTTTTTGAACCTTACGTATGTAACGCTTCCATCCTCCTCAGGGAAGTAAGCTGCTAACATCTGACCAAGTTTTCTCGGTGACTCGGAGCTCATAAAAATGTCACTTTTTAAATGTTAAGTTTTTAGTCTTATTTTACCCTTTGTTTACCCTTTGTTTGTCAAGGTAGTATTGGAGTGCAATTTCTCCAAATTCTCTGTGTCGGAGTTCTTCAGCATTTTCCAAGGTGTACCTGGAGAACTCAAAGAAGTTGTCAAGAAGATACTGCCATGCTGCTCTTCTGAGTTCGTCGGTATTTTGGAAGTGTTGCACCTTCGAGTCTTCGGACATGAAAAAATGACACTTTTTCTATTAAACCGTTTTGGCATTTCTCATGAGTGAGTATAGTTCTGCCGAACCATTGGAAGAGAAGAAGTACCCTTGCTGGCAAAAGACAAAAATAGTTGCCTTAGTTGTCATTGCAATTGTACTCGTAATTGAATTCATTGTACTTCTCTTCACGTACATAAAACTCAAGGACGGCATATGCTTTAAGAAGCTACCATCTTACTAAGACTAAACATTATTTTTATTGAATTCAGCACAAAAATCATGAATTTCCTTAAGATAGAAAAAATAAGGTTAGTTTTATTTTTATTTATTTTTTTATCCGGAATATAAAGACAGATATGTCAACAACAGAGAACACAACAACAGTTATAGTCCATGAAGCTATAAATGAAGAATATGAGTACATACAGTTTAACAAACAACTCCGTCTCATTCGTTCAGTCAAAGACGATATGTACCAAATGCAAAGTATTTTGACAGGCATGTTTTTGCTCCAGATACCAAACATACAGACGATTGGTTCAAAAACCAAAGCACACAAGAACTTTTGAGCGAAGCACAGCGAGACCGACTTTTTCGGGGTCGCCTAAAACTCATGAAAATCGTAAAAATTTGCCAAATGGTTTGAGAGGTTGGTATGTACATAGACTTCTTGTAAATGCTGTTGCAATGTGGGCTTCGCCTCGTTATGCTTGGTATATTTACAGACTTCTTGACGAAATTCATAGACAAGAACGTGAAGAGATGGAAAACAAGCTTGAAGCAAAAGACAAAAACATTCAGAAAAGAATACCACGTTCGGTACCAAAAGGTAAGGAAAAGAACTATAAGTATATGATTTATACTGAAGAGATGGAAAATGAAGAAGATAAAGATATGGTTATGTTGCATTTAGTCAGAAGAAACAACAAAAGCTTTTACGACCTTGCTAAGATTTACAAATCTGACAGAAATTGGTTCTATCGCGAAAACTTACCGATTTCAATGACCCCAAATGAAGATGTGAAACAAATAGTTCAAGATACGTTATCAAACACACTATGATATGAAAGGTTGTACAATACTTACCTTCAAAGAAGATTTGCCATTGTTAAAGGAAAAAATAACAGAGTATTTTGACAACTTCAAACAAGCAGAGTAAATGAACTCTTTATTTTTCAAGCTTGACTTTTTACAATTTGAACTTTGTTTGCGTAGATATGAATTCTGAAAGAAGTATGAGGGTCTTGTATGACTTTATACTTCTCCCATAGTTCATATCTGTCAAACTTACCTGCCATGGACTCTTTCATAAGTTCCATGAAATCGTCTTCGGACAATCCGGGGAAAAGTACAATGTCAGTCAGTATTCTCTTTACATCCTTACTTAAACTCTTTGCTGTCTGTACACAAATGACAACTGAGATGTTAAAGTGTCTGAGCTTCTTAAGAATTCGACACATATCTTGTTCTCTATTCTTTAACAAAGGATGAGAGGCGAAATCATCTAAGATAAGAAGACACCTATGAGGGTAAGTCTTCCAATCGTAAGATTGCAATTTCTTCGAAATGTATTCTATCTCTTTCTGTTTGTTTCTGAAGTGTTTCTTCTCTAATATTCTCTGCATTTCCTCATTTGGGTCTTTAAACTTAGAATTTATATACTCATTTATAGCATTATACTTCAAAACTCTTCTTTGGTACTTCTTTATCCAATCTAACAACTCAGTATCCTTTATACATACTAACTTAGACTTCTTTATAATATCTTTGAACGAATTGACGGTTTGGTCAAATTGACCAGAAGTACTACAAATGACAACTAACTCATAGAATGGGTTCTTCTCATCTAGTTCTTGTTGTTGTGCAGCCATTTTAAGATAAGTGAAAGTCTTACCCGACCCAGGTGGTGCAATGGAGACCTGTTATACCATTCTGAGCAAATAAGAACTTGTCATGTATAGGCTTTATCTGAGCATTTTCTAACTTCCTCTTGTTCTTGTTTAAAACATTCTCAAATTTCTTGTCAAATGTCAGCAAACTTTTTTTCTAACATATTTTTAGAAAAATTAAAATTTTTATCTTTTAGAAAATGTCTAGCGATTTCGCTATCTATATTCGAGACAAACTTTTCGACAGCAAAACATCTGTCGACCATAAAATCTTACATAGTGTAAACAAGAAAGGTGAATTTGTTCTAAAGTTCTGTTTCTGGGAATATGACAAGAACCATAAAACATTACAAAGAGCAGTCTTAAAATTTGTCAATGACAGACTTGTTGACAGAGATGACGCCGATTGGAAAGATGAAGTCCAACAAAAGTTCTTAGAATGCAAAGAAGACACATGCGCTGTTCTTGAAGATGAAATAGAAAACAGAATAGATGAGCTATTAAAGGACAAAGAACTTTTACATAAATATGGTTCGGAGAAATTTGACATAACTCCACCAGAGAAGAAGAAGAGAGAAAAGAAAGAAAAGAAAGTAGAAGAAGAGAAGAAAGTAGAAGAGAAGAAAGAACCTGAACCAGTTCCAGAGAAAAAGAAATTTGACATGTAAAAATAAAATTTTATTTTTAGAACATTTCTGGGTCAATGTCAATGTTCTCTTCCTCTTTAGGAGCAAACACTGGCTTAGACTCTAAAATCTTTTTACCCAATTTACCTTGAACTTCTACAACTTTAGACTCATAATATTCATAGTCGTCTGCTTTCTTTGGTTCATAAGGTATAACAAGTTTGTATGCTTTGCCTTCTTTAAGGTTTGAAAACCTTCTGTCAAAACTTTCTTTGACTGCTAACAAACCTTCTATGTCTAAGTCTTCAAATTTCGCACCATTTTTAGTCACGACAGCAAACTTAACTGGTTCGATGTTCCAAACTTTGCTGAATGAAGACTTTTCAAAATGGTAGAAGTAAACATTCAAATATGTGAATGGGTCTAGTTCTTCTTTAAGTCCTGACATGTACTTGTTTACTGAGATGAATTTTGCCATCTTTTCTATCGGATAAAAAAATATTTTTTTTAAAATTTACTCATAAAAATTTTTCTTTGTATATACACCATTCTGTACGTCTAAAAGACTTTTGACATTTGCCAAGAATGTTCGTTTAGACGCTGTCATATAACCATATTCTTGACAATATTGTTTATACGAATCGTACAATGACCTTTCATCTAAACACTCAAAGTCAGTTTCATCTATGAACAGTTCATATACACTCTTGTTTGCTTCTAACAATGTTTGTCTCTCTTCGGTATGTGGAATTTGTCTTGGATTGAACTTTGAAATATCTAATGTCATAAAATATGAGAACAAGTGGTTGTAAAAGTCAGATGTCAAAGTTTCTGCTAAGTCGTCAAAATATTCTGTATCTTGCATATGAGCTTCTGACGTTCTGACAACTACATATCTTCTGTCAGAACTTTCTAACTTCATCGGAACAGAATTGTTTGAAACCATAATGAAGTTTGCAAACATTTTCACAAACTCTTTGGTCTTTATACTTTCTTTCAACAACTCCAACTTTGTCTGTTATAAGACTCTTCAAAGCATCTGAGTTCAAAACTTTTGTTGTATCTATACTTTGAAGTTCATTGCAAACTATAAGTTTCATATTCTCTATTGAGGAGTTAAACTTGCCACAGATGTTTTCTAAGTTTGTCATATTCGGGTTCGAATAGCCTCTAACAGTTTGCACAAAATATCTGTAAAGAATGTGTTCTTACCAGTTCCTTGTTTTCCAATTATAATGAGAGCAGTTTCATTTTTAGCACTTGGATGTTGTAAGATGTTTGCAAACCAACATAAGATATACTCATAGACTCTTTCGTTTCCATTGCATATAATTTCTTTGACATGGTCTAACCAAGCTTCTATAATATTTTCTTTCCATTCTACTTGTTCGTATTTATATCCAGTGAAGATAGAATAGAAGTTTGGAGAAGGTGTATAGAACTTTATACCTCGAACTGAAAAATCTTCTAACTTTGACAATAAGATATCCCAAGCATCTAACATCTTCATTCCAACTTGTACACTTTTATTTTCTTAAGTTTCTGTCTACATTCTTGTTCAGACACTATTGTCGCTCTTGGTTTGTTAAAGACACATCCCATTCTTTCATAACATAACATTCTGGGGCAGAGTCGACATAAATGACTAAACGTTTCAAATTCTCGACTGCTTTGTTATAGTCTCGAAATGGACACATATTTCTGAATGCTTGGAAGTCATAAAAATCTGAAACATCTATTCTGTACATTTTTATAAAAATAAAAAAAATATTTTTTTTATTCTTGACTTTGTTGTTGCATTTGTTGCATTTGTTGTTCTTGAGCTATTTGTTGTTGAAGTTGTTCTTGTAATACAATACTTTCACCAGTTGCATCTTCCAATTCGAAACTTTCTGCCGTCATTGACAAATACATAGGACATAAAAGTTTTACAGGAACAAAGTTTGCGTCAACTAATGTCAACGTTATACTTGCCAAAGTGTTTGAGTTCACTAAGGTTGAAAATTCTGCATTCGAATGAACAATAGGCAAACCAGCAGAGAAAGTATTGTTTATACGCATAAGTATCTTTTGGTCATAATAGTTTCTGTCGACATTCGAATAACACTTTGAACCTAAGTTTGAAACAATATATAAGATTGGTGTGCTTAATGTCAATGGAATAGACATTCCTTGTATGACACCTTTTCCTGTTATAGGAAACTGTTGGTAGTAAAAACCAGAAATAAGTTTTGTATTATAGCTCATATTGTTTATAGTAAACTCAGTCGGACATCCAAACATAATGAAACCTGCTCTAGTTGCAGCACATGTTACACCCGTCCTTAAAGTATTAAATAAGTCAACAAAACCTGTTGGTGGTATATCTGAGTAAGTATCTTCAAAGGAGTATTTTTTACCATTCACAACAATAAAGTCTTCTGGTGTCAAAAGAGCAAAACAGGCTTTAGTCGTCATTGTGTTTAAAGTTAGTTTACAATCGTCCTTGAGGACTTTGTAAGTTTGTTGTTATAGAATTATATGACTCAGGGTTTTTAGTCGTAATAGTATAAACCATTATATCTTCTGCCATTTATATATATTTAAAAGTTTTTCTGAAAGTGGAGAAGAACTTCATCTAAACTTTCACATGGCGTTTCTTGAAGTTCTCTGTCTAAGAAGTTCAAATATTTTGTAAAGACATAGAACTTTCCTTTGTCTACACGAACAAACAAAACAGGGTCTTTCATATCGTTCAAAAGTGTGTAAAGTCCTTTACATGAAATAAAGTCTATATTATTTTTCTTCAAACATCTTTCAAGAAGTTTTGACATTTTTACTTAGCAAATAAATTTTAATGAAATGTTGTGGTCGTCAAATATTTTTATGACGTCTGGGAAACTATACTTTAAGTTCAACGTTTCACCTCCTTTCATAACGTATATCTTGTCAATGACATTATATGAAACACCACAGCAACTAATGTCGGGTTCTATTTCTTTGATGTTTATATCGTCTGCCTCTGTCAAAAGTTTCAATAGTTCTTTCAAAACTTCATGAGGTGCAATGACATATGAGTTCACTTTTACAGGGTTGTGTTCGACCAAGTTTAACATTATACTTAAAGCTTGACAAATCTTCTCCTGAGTTTGAAGTTTGTCTTTAGTTGTTGGTAGTCGTTTCGAATATCTGCAACAGAACTTAAGTCTCTGCTAACTTCAGGATATGTTGGTTGTTCTTTTACAGGAACAATTGTTATACCATCTTCGTCTTCGTATGGTTTCCCCACTTCAACATCTCTGTCTTTGACATTGACAACAACACTTTGACTGTTTGTTTGAGTTGGTGAATTTAACTTCACATCTGCCACCGCCATTAAACCTTTTGAAACACTTACGCTTCTATTTTTCGGAAATGACATTTTACTTAGAATAAAAAGATGGACGTATTCGAGTATCTCTTCGAATTGAAGCAGAACAAAGTTTACACACACAAACAATACAAATACATTGACAGAATAGTTCTTTATACAAACAATGGTAAATGTTATAGAATAGCAATATTTGCTGAACCAAAATATTTTCATAAAGCAAAGAAAGTTGGTATAACTGAAATGGTGAAAGTTCTTGAAGCAGACAAAAATATAACAAAAAACTTACAGATATTTCTAAAGGTAAGTTTATCTTACAATATTATGTCAAAACTGGCGTACTGTCAATATTTGACGGAGAGAAGTCAGTTCAAGAACAACTTACTGACCTGCTGCCAAAATCTGCTCGATGGAAGCTGTCGTTATGCCAATCTGAGGAGCCCCAGCAGGTTTCATCGAACGAATCTTCAAAAGAGCATCTTCCGTGAAAAGTGCTATTGGTTTTGTAAACTTCTTTGCTCTCAGTTCATCTGGACCGTCTCTGTCACCAGTATATTGTATTTGTACAGTACCAACAGTTGAAATACCACCCATAAAGTCTTCTGAGTCAGCAAATGGAATGCCAAGCCAAAAGTTTGAACGGTCTCCATTTGTATATTGAGTTTTTTGACCTCCTGTATGAGTCCATACTTTCACATATGGCATAATAGAACTTTGCATTTCAGGGTTAATGGTTGTTGTGAAGTTGTTGTTAAAGTTCATAGCATCTAATGTCAAGTTGTATGACCTCATATCCTCAACTGTAGAATATTCTTCTCTTGGATAATATTTGCCATCTATGTTTATATGATATTTAATACCGGGGTTGTAGAAACAAGAATAGTCATTTATAGTTCGTCTGAACAGTACAAACATAGTATCTGCATGTTTCATTGCAGTTGTTAAAGCAATATCTGTTCTTGCACCTGGGTCAGCACTTTGGTTTCCAACTTCACCTGCAAAGTCTTTGACAGATATTTGGTGTATAGGGAACATAAGTGGAACTGCAATATATTTGGCAGCTAAAGCATTTGAAATATCTGGGTCCAACATATAGACTGCAAGTCTGCTTTCTATTCTCTTGCATTCAAATTTTTCGCATGTAACTTAACTGGGTCCCAAGCAGTTCCAGCAGCATTGAAATAATAGTTTACTTCATTGTTGAAGTTTGAGAAACCAAAGTCTAAGTCAACTTTGTCTTTGCAAAAGTCGGCGAATGATGTTTATTTGTTCCCTACGTCTGTATGTGAATGGGTCTTGTGTTGGTGCAATGACTAAGTTATTTTTGCTTGGAGTAAGTTCAATAGAAATTTTTCCTGCCCAGTTTGGCAAGTATCTTAAAAACCTGAAGATGAGGAAAGATGACAAAGGAACTCTAAGTTTCAGTTTTACTTTAGTGGCAGCAGTTCCATCTGAACCAGAAAGGTTAACATAAACTCCTGGAACGTTAGGGTCAAGTCTTCTTATTTTCTCAATATTTGCATACTGGTCTGTTTGTTCTCTAGCTTGTGGTTGTACTGAGTTTCTCAAAGCGAACCATTCATAGTTTGCCCATGTTACTGTTTGAACTAAGTCAGAGTTAGAATATATCTTATATCCCATGAAAACTTCTGGAGCATATTGGTATCCGACATAGAAAATTCCATTGCAACCTTTCTTGTCAGACAACTTGGCAGAAGGTTTTATTTCAATGTCTTGTTCCACGTATAAGAATGAGTTGTCAATAGAAATAATATGAAACCTGTCGCAAGCAATATCTACTGTTGTTGAAGAACCTTCTCCAAACTCACCTACGTTTCCATAAGAAACAGCAGTTGTATATTCGTAAGTTCCAGGAACTATTTCTGACCTTCTAATGGCATTGTCGCATTCGTTATACCATTCGGAAACATTTCCGTTCATGGCATCCAAAACTGTTGGCGTTATATTCTGAGCGGCGTACATTTCATATGGGTAAAAATATAGAATAGTTGAATTATGTCATAATAGAACCCACTCGGACCAAGCTTTACTTTGTTCTACTCTTCTTCTTTGGTGTCGCTTTTGGTAACTTGCCCTCTGCTTCAAGTTGTTGCATCTTTGCCTCATGTTCACCTAGTATGTTGTAAATTTCCCATGTCCTTTTTGCCTTTGGGCTCTGGTCGCCCATCTCAGGTAACCTATATCCTAGAAAGATTTTGTCATAGTTTGTATTTGAGTCTTCGCGTATTGTTTGCATGACTCTTTCCTGAGTTTCCGGTTCAAGCTCTTCAAACAGAGCTTGTCCATATGGAATAAGCTCGTTTCCAAATATATGTTTTTGTAGCCATTCTGGTTTTCTTTCCATGTTACCAACATATCTTTTGTGAATGGGAAAGCTTTTACCCAATGTTTCAGTCTTGCGTCATTTATTTCTGTAGTTGGTTTTATTTTGTCAAGGAACATGTTTTTCAATACTAACATTTCATTTGGTACTGTCCATTTGAGTTTTCTTAAATATTCATCCCTTCTCGGTTCATTGTCTGCAAAGTAAGTTTTTATGACATTTTGTAAACTTTCGTTTGCAAGGTCATGTACAATAGGTTCTCTTCCTTCCTTCTCCCTAACTTTCTTTCTAAACTCTTCACCAAATATACCATCTCTATGGTTCTGTGTAGTTCTTTGAGATAAATGTTCTAGAACGTCAGGTGTTATATTTCCATCAGCCATGTTCATTTCATACTGGTCCAAAATATCTGCATCTTTCATATCTTTCAATGGCATTAAAGCCGCGCTGAAAATACCAGCTATATCTGGTTCACCATTCACTTCCATTGCGTCTACAACTTCTTGGAATTGTGGTTGTAAGTTTATGAACCACCTATCCGGATTAGCTTTATGACCCCATCTCATTGTAGTTCCATAGTCTGCAGAAACAAAAGTAGGTTTGTTTCCATATTGGTTAGGTTCTGAATGAACTTTAAACAATGTTTCATTTCTATATGTTTTGTTGAAATTTAACCTTTTATTTTCACCGAGTTCATCCAAAGATTGAACGTTATATGCTCGTAAGTAAAAAGGATTGTTGTATTTGCGTACATTTCTTTCAGTACTTCCATTCTATGCTGAATATTTTCATCTGATGTTGGAGTCTTTTGTATGTCGGCGAACATTTTTCGATATTCTTCTACTATGTCAGCCGAATTTTTCTTAGACTCTTGGAAAGATTCCATATTCTCCGCATACTCTTGTTGAGGGTCAAGATTTTTCGGCTGTTCCAAATCTTCATCTAGTTCTGTGAAGTTAGTTTCCAAAGGAGGGACTTGTTCGTTTCCTTCAGGCTCTTCTAGCTGTTGTTGCTGAACTATTTCTTCCATGTCTGGTTGTATCTGAACTTCTTCCTGTGGAGTTTCTTGTACCTCATCTGCTGGCATTTCATATATTCCGAGACCGTTTTTAACAAGTTCCCTATTTAAGCCATCCGCATTCATAACCCTTTCTTCTTTCGTTCCGTCTCTATTTTTTACGCGTTTCATGAAGATAGTTGAATTATCATTTATCTCTGACACCAAATATCTCGGAGTAAATTCATCCATGTCATTTGGATGATATGCTATTAAATCATATCCCTTAGCGAGCTTGTATTTTCCAGGTTTGAAATTATATCCCATTTGGTGCTGAACCATAAAGCTAAATAGGTTCGGGTCAGTATTTCCTTCCTTGAACTTTCTAATAGCTTCTTTATATCTGTCACTAAAGTCAAGAGTATCTGGGTAACCATAATTTTCCTTAAGCATTTTTAAGAATTCTTGGTTTCCTTGTTCTCTACTTCTTTTATGTCCTTGCTCTGTTTGTGGTTGTTGCTGTGCAGTGTTTTGAACTGTTGGTTGTGGTGCAGTGTTTTGAACTGTTGGTTGTGGTGCAGTGTTTTGAACTGTTGGTTGTGGTGCTGGATTTTGAACTGTTGGTTGTTGTGTTGGTTGTTGTGTTGGTTTTGGTGCATGCCTGTGTCTGTGTCCATGTGACGATGTAAATGTTTTAGGTAGTCCTGGTGCAGGTGCTTCTCTTGGAGGGTTTGGTGGTATATAAGTTCCACCAGCTGGCACATATGTTCCATCTGCAGCATAATGTCCTACCTGACTTTTCGTTTTTAAGAAAGCATTTACTAGGTCTGTTTTGGTCTGTTGTAACTCTTTTTCTTGACTTTCCACAACAGTTGCTCTAACGGCGTCATAGGCACTTTGAACTGCCTGTCTCGTTGCTGCATCTGTTATTTTCGTCATATTTTGTGCTACTTCTCTTAACTCGTTGTCGAAACCTTCAGACTTCAGTTTCTTTCCAGATGAGAAGTCGTTCACTAGTTTCACCTTACTATGAAGAGCTTCGAAGGCGTTCTTAAAGTCAGCATTCATTAAAGCTTCATTTGAACTGTCTTCATCCGCTTGTATTTTTGTCCTTATTGACCCTATAAGTTGGGCTGCTTTAGCGTTGGCTTGGGCATCTAACCAGTCATTATTAGCTTTTATATATTCTGCGCTTTTCATTGCCTTTTGCATGGCTGCGTCGTTATTTTTACTTTCTTGTGCTAAGTTTTCATACTGTACGGTTTGGTTTTGCAACTGTAAAAGTTTTTCTGCCTTTACATTTGCTTCAACTTCTTTTTTATACTCATCGCTATCCATATATGTCTTCAGGGCTTTTTGTTTTATTTCTTCATCTTTCAGTACTTTATATTGAGTAGTATGGTTTTTCAAATTTATAACATCTTGTTCCATTTTTGCTACTTCTGCTGCTTTTTCTGACACTTTTTTCGCATATTCCTCTGTACTTAGTTCTTTCAGTTGTTCTTCTTTCTTCTTTTTCTCTACGTTTAACTCATTGAGTTTCTTTGTGTGTCTGTCATATTCTAGTTTCTTTTCGTTTTCACTTATTTGTTTCTGTATGTCTATGTTTGACTTTTTGACATCTGTTATTTGATTTTTGAGTGAACTCAAATTCATTTGACTTTGAGGGTTATAAGCTGTTCCGTCTGCAGCTCCACCATAGCCTGCCATTTTCGCTAAAAGTGCCGCTCTTAAACCTCCACTCTGTGCACCATAACTCGGTTTAAAAGCATAGGGTTGCTTGACATTTGTTGCAACATAGTGGGGTCATTCATAATTTGTTGTTGCAACTGTTGTTGTGGTGTCAGTTTTACTATTGGATGTTTCAATGCTCTCTTCCTCTTACGTATATTCTTACGTAGCTTACGTGGCATTTTAAGTGAAGTAAAAAACGGTTTTTGACAGATGTTTATATGACACTTTTGTTCAGCACAAAAAACTACTCGGTCAAAGTGTTGTCAGTTTTGTAAAATAACCGTCCTATCTTGTTTTAAGAGAAAAGGCTTCTCAAAGTATACTTCCTTGGAACGCCTGTAACTTTTCCTGTAGCGACGATAGACCCTTACTTGTCCGGACAAAGTTATACTATTTTGAGTGCTCTACAAAAAAGTCAACGGCGACGACTCTCAAAAACCGTTGTGCAAAAAGTTTTACCGTTGGACAAAAAAGTATATATAGAAAACAAAAAACGTTTATAGTTCATTCAATATTTGAGATGGAACGGTTTTCCAACGGTAACTATTAAATAAAATAAAAAAATAGAGGGGGTTACCGTTGACGAAAACGGTTCATCTCAAACTTTTCTATGAGTGGTCCGAAAAAAACAGTTCATTTTTCATAATGTACGCGTCTCGAACAGTGAAGCCCAATTCAATAGAATACTATCTCGAAAAACAAGAAGCTGACACTGCTATTCAGTCTTTAATACAGAACCAAGCTCAGGAGAACTCAAAAGACTCCCAATTCAAATCGACATCCAATTCGAAGCAATTAAAACTTGACTCGAATGTTTTAAAACCACAGCCCGCACGAACAAATACAGCTCTAAGAATAGACCAAAGAATACCGAACAAAGAGTTGAGGTCAAGATTGAAATTACAATCGGATGAGTATTTTTCCCTTAACAACCAGGGAAATACTCCATATAACCGTATCTACACAAATACCGTTAAAGAAACAATAACGGCATACACAAAACTCTGTCAATTGGTCCCCAACCAGGACCAATTGACGGACATTATATGTTCCTACCTTCCCATATTTGCTGAGTGTGTGGAAGGTAGGACATTGTTACAAGCTTGCTTACGTATGCCACCAAATCTCCGTCAACAATTTGCTCAAATTGTACATGAATTTAAAGCTTTTAACAACGGATACGATGAAGATGAAGTAGCAGATGAATTTGGGGAAGAAAAAACATTTTTCCCCTCATATAATACGCCTGCAACAGTATTTCCTACTAATGAATTTCACAACTATTGTGTCGTTCATTTAATTGTTGTGGATATGCCCACAGGTGAAGACATTCTCAGTGGTGACTTCATCGAAGTCTGTATCAATACAGAATTGGGAGAAGATGAGTTGCACAAATTCTCCAACGTCGAACATATATTCAAACCAGCACACCAACTCTTTATCGAAACTGAAATAACACTCACACAAAATATGTCCATCTCATTTAAATCCAAATCAGGACGTCCATACAGAATTTGGATGAACTACGTCCTCCTCCACTACGCCGACGATGACGAAGAAGAGGAAGAAGAGGAGGAGGAAGAAGAAGAGTCCTCCGAATTCACACCAGAAGACTAACAATTTTCCGAATAAAAACTTCATTTATACAAAACATCTTCGGGGCTAGAGGGCACGAAGTGCCTGGAAGCCCCACTACCTTTTTTTTTTTTTTTTTTTTTTTTTATTCATAAAGATTTTCCAAAAATATGATACCGCAAAATTAAAAAAAGTGACGTCTTGAGTGGAGTCAAAGGTCGAAATTGCTAGCTAAATGTTTTTTTAGCGAAATTGCTTATTGTACGTTTTTTTCGCAAAACGAAACCCTTATTTTATTATACGTATTACTCAGAAAATTAAATGTATTTGTGAGGGAAAACGGAGAAGATAATAAATATTGTCATATGGAGGAATTGCAATTTTAAGGAAAATATTAAGTTTAGTAATTTGTGTATATCTTGTTATGTAATGCATATTTTCGCGATCTGACGGCAGAAATCGAATCAGCGGATCCTGAAGAATCAGATTACGCGGGAAAAATAGGTTTTGAACGCTTAGATAGGGCGAAAATGATGTTTTATGAGGTGTGGTGTATAAATATAGTTTTTGCGATAATATGGCATGAGATCAGAATATGAAGTGAGTATATATGTGTTTTTTTTCACTGGTTTATATGTTGAGATAGCTCAGTAGAGTCTGTAAAATAGTTCAGTACATGCTATAAGTTAGATTAAGCACAAAAAATATGAAATAAATATTAATTAGGAAAAATTATAATGTAAAGATTGTATGTAAAGATACTTATATGGTAATTAAAATTTATTAAAACAAGAGTGCATATTACACTCTTGTCGGTCAAACTTTTGCAATCACATTCTGATTGCAACAAATTGTCTCATTCTGGGAGACATGCAGTGGCAATGTCTCCCTGAATGACACATTGTGACCGACAAGAGTGCATATTACACTCTTGTCGGTCAAAGTTCCGCATTCAAGTTATGAATGCGGAACAGTGTGCCAATCTGGGGACATGCAGTGGCAATGTCTCCCGAATGACACATTGTGACCGACAGAGTGCATATTACACTCTTGTCGGTCAAACTTTTGCAATCACATTCTCATTATACAATCTCTTTATTTTCTTGCCTGTCCATACATATAATTAGTACATAAACAATATCCTTATTCAAAATCCCTTAAACACAAATTTACCATATGATTTGTATTTATCTTTAAAAATCTTAATATTTTCATTAATTATTGAATTCTACATCTATTTAGTTTATCAAAACACTCAATGTTATAAATCATATTAGTTTATATCATTTATCATCAGTTTTCATTTTACGCATGTAGTTTTTAAATCTCTATCAATTTTGAAATGAAATATATTCACAATTATATGCAGTGTCAATAGACATCTTGTTGCCTATGAAATTAACAATTTTTTCAAATTATATTGATATTCTTCAAATTGTGAATTTGTTACATTTAATTACAAATATTGTCTTCTCCCTTATTTTGCATTTGACTTACATTAATAACCAAGCTTAATTTTAACAATTGATACCCAATTCAAAATGTCTTTCCAAAATTAGCCGAATTTCAAAAATTGACATGATACCACATTCTACATCAATTGGAATTAAGAATATTCCAAATTAAATAAAAAATATCAATCTTTTCAAAATTTATAATATTATCTTTTTTTAAACTGTTATTATATCATTATCATTCATAGCCTGACTTATCAAAATGAATTTCAATTCATATTGTTCAAATAAAGCATTACTTTGAAAGTTTGAATCATTACTCCGACATATTTTCCTATATAGTAAAATCACAACCGAGATTGATATATGCATAACATTTCTAACCATTTGCATGTAGATATGTGAAATTTTAACTCTAATTTTAAAATATTATAATTTTTTTTATATATCATGTCATTATGTATAAATCAATTCACCGGATCATATATATTAATATATCTGTAATTGAATAGACTAGGCCAATTACATTAGTTTGATATCTTGATAACTTTTTAGATTTAGATTTCAACCTCAGCAATATATACTACTATGTACCAGTAATATAATGTTATAATAATGGGTTTGGATCTTCATGTAGTGTGGTTTTACAAGCAAAATAAATTTCGTCTAATTGCACTATGAATGTCATTAGTAGACTACTAAAATCATATGGTAGATTCTCTAGTGCCTACATAAGTATATGGTATATGTCACAAAGAATGTCTCCAATCAGGGAGCTGTATTAATGAGCTTTTATAAAAATTTACGGGCGTGTCAGATTCCAATAACAAAAACTTTAGGGTATTTGCTATTGTAAATAAAATCCGATTGATTCTCATAATTTCATATATTCAAGCATTAGTACTTTTATTGATATATGTTATTACTTGAAAATCGTCATATTGCATCATTTCATATATGGAGTTGATACAAAAAATGATTAAACGAGTAATTCAAACGAGATTGAAGCTTAAAATTCAAGTTTGAAGAAAATTTTATTATAGAATCAGGCGCACTTTATATTCCAATACTAATTGCATAATGAAATCAGAATGATAGGAAAAATTTTACTGGCACAAAATTGCTAAAATTTTAAAATGGCGTGTCAGAAGAATTGCTTGATATTTGGAAATAAAATCCGACGGTTATTAGATAAATTTTCATTCAATTATATTTTGAATTAATTTGCCAATCACTTCATTTCTTTTTTGAGTTATTAAGGGAAAACAGCCTTATCAGAAAAAGAAAAATACAAATTTCAACCCAGCTCAAAACAAGCCTCAGGAAGAAAAAGAAGCACCAAAAACGGCACCGAAACATAACTTTTCACCCGCAAGTGGAATTGGCTGGGGCGCATTGAATTTACAAACACCAGAACCACCAAAACCAACAGATTTTCGTCCGTCCGCCACAAGAAACCAAATATGTTCAGGAAAAGAAATTTGATCCTCAACAGAAAAAGGAGAGAAAGCAAGAAAAACCAAAGGAACCTCAACCAGAGAAACAGGAAATTATCGAAGAACCTAAATTGGAGCAGAAAGTTCCTGTTCAGGAACCACAACCAACGGCTAACCAAGAATACTTGTTTTTCGGAGAGCTAAAGAAGATGGAAATAATCTTCCAACAGTTATTCCAACAGATATTACAATTCCGCCACCAACAAGTAATTTGGTACCAGTTTTGTGCTGGGTTCAAATTCCACCAGGTGGAATAAAGGAAATCATTGATAAAGGCTACAAATACGCCAAGTTTCCAACAACGAAATAAAAATTGTTAAATTTCATAAATATGATATTATTTTTTCAAAAATCTTGTTTTAAACGTAAATATTATTGTTGCATTCGTATAGTTTAATCATGGTTTTCATTATTTCTCATAATGAAACTTTTTTTACGAAATTCGGTTAGAATCATCAATCAAGAAAACTGTCCGAACCAATTGATAGGTCTCACTAATTTTAGATGATAATTGGAACGTTTTCATATCGAGTATATGGCATTACTAAATAATTCACGCAATAAAATATCTTAAAGCAATATATTAATTAAATTGTTTACGAAGAGACCGTAAACTCATCTTAAACCTATTTAAAATGCTAAAGTATAATGAAAATATTATTTTATTAATAAAATGGGAATATTCAGTGTTAAATTTCTTCATGAAACACGGCAATCACCATTGCTAGAGCTTCCACTATTGCTGCTGCTACCACCGTAGCTGCTGCTGCTATTTCTTTCACGTCTCTTGCGATCTTCCTCTTCTCTTTCTTCTCTTCCTTCTCTTCAACGCGTCTCTTTTCTTCCTCATACTTGTCCCACTGTTGGGTACTATAGTATAGTCATATCAGTAGCTCATATCCTAAAATGAAGTGAATTAAACAAAGTCTCAAAATCAAAATTGAAATTTAATATCAAATATCCAAAACATTATGAGAAACATTTTTAAAAATAAAAAATATGATTTACAATCGTTTATGCAAATTTTGAGCAGTTATTACAAATTGAAAGGAAAAAAATTTAAAAGTCGTAACTACTTTTAATTTTGAAAAATGAGTTCTATATAAAGTAACTGTATTTAAAGTGTTGTAAACAGAAATTCATCAAAAGTGACACCTCAGAAAAGCTAAAATATTGAATTTTTGGAACTTTTGATAGAGCACGTTTTTAAATATTAATTAAAGTAAATGTATATTTTGTAAAGATTCTTTTTAATAAAAAAATAAAATTTTGAAGAAGAACACAAAATCTTCTGAAAAATAATATCACATAAACTCATATTATTTTCTAAATATAACTATTTTATATAAAAATCAAATTCAATGATCTTAAAAGCGAAGGATAAACCTCAAAATTTACGAATATAATGAGTGGGAATATAATGCTTATCTATCATAAAACCATATGAAATATTAATTTTTGCTTTACGCCTAATTTTTGACGACAATTAGCAAAAATGTTAAATGTTAACACTCAGTCCATTTGAATATGAAAAATAAAATTGACTTTGATTAAATGTTTTTATTTATCATGCAATTCTTCTTGCGACCAAAGATTTGAATAAAATTTAAAAAAATAAGATAGCTTAAAAAATAATATACGGTAGTGTTTACTAATAGATGAATAGTATATAAATTCTATTAAAATGGATTTGATCCAAAAAAATATAAAACCAAAAATAATTGTTAATTTAATGAAGAAGTAATTTAAAACGATTTTATTTATGATCAAATTTTATATATTTTTTGGATCAAATCCATTTTAATAGAATTTATATACTATTCATCTATTAGTAAACACTACCGTATATTATTTTTAAGCTATCTTATTTTTTGAAATTTTATTCAAATCTTTGGTCGCAAGAAGAATTGCATGATAAATAAAACATTTAATCAAAGTCAATTTTATTTTCATATTCAAATGGACTGAGTGTTAACATTTAACATTTTTGCTAATTGTCGTCAAAATTAGGCGTAAAGCAAAAATTGATATTTCATATGTTTTATGATAGATAAGCATTATATCCCACTCATTATATTCGTAAATTTTGAGG